AAAAGGGGGGGGAAAAAAAATTTTTAAAAAAAAAAAAAAAAAAAAAAAAAAAAAAAGGACCCCAGGAGTTATTAAGCTAAAAACAATAAAAATAAAACATCATGGCCCCTTTAGGAAAAGCCTTTGAAGCTTTTTGCTGGTGGCCTCTTGTTTTCCTGATCGAGCCAGAAGACCGCTTCCTTGCGGAACCAGGTAACGGGGGGCGGGGTGCTGGGGTCTGGGCCCGGTTGCTGAGTGTGTGTCTAGGGTTGCCAGGTGTCCAGTATTTTCGCCTCCTGGCGGGGGAGGGAATCAGAAAATACTGGACATTTTAGGTGTCCGATATTTTCTGAATTTTTTTTACCGGACAGGAGGCAAAAATACCAGACTGTCCTGGTCAGTACCGGACACCTGGCAACCCTACACACTGCCTCACTACATGCCTACTTGGTGTGTCACATGGAATCAGCTACACCTCCTGGTTGGGGCTTGGGCCTGTCATCCGGCTGCATCCATAGTCAGCAAGCCCCGGTTCTCATGCCAGGTTGGCAGCAGTAGGTCCAGGGCTCAGACCTATGATTGGGCCAAGCTCACTCAGGGTGTACCGCAAACAGTCACAGTTCAGAAGCTTGGACCTGTATGTAGGATGGACCTTTAAGTAAGCGGTCTATAGGCCCAAGCCCTAGCTCATAGCAAACCATGCCAATTCAATAGTTCAGGCTTAGCCAAGCAGCTGTCATTAGTCCCAGGCCCAGGTTCAGGGTGAGACCACAAACTGTCAGGTCTCCTAGCTCTGGCAGAGAGCCGACAAGTGCAGGTGGTTGGCCTAGAATAGTGGGTGGGGAAGAGACTGCCAACCATGGATTGGATGGCGGTGGGGGGGACAGGCCAGCTGCTCCACTGCATCCCAGCTCAGGGGCCAAACAGTGGTGGGCCTGTCTGCCACTGGTTCAGCGGGGATCCTATATACAACATGCTAACTCAGTCTCTGGTTCAGCCACACTTAAGGCCAGATGTCCCTGGGCTACTTCCATTCTCTCCTTCTCTTTCGCTCATCTCCATCAGCCATATCTGGCTCCAGTGCAGGCCCTCTGGGGAGTTGGGGGCTGGAAACTCTGGCAGAGTTGGCAGTTAGTCAAGGTCAAAGTCTGTCTGAGCTCCTGGCAAGTCCTCAGCCTTCTTTAGGTCTTCTGTAGTCTCTCAGCTTGGGAGTGTGAGGCAGGCATCCAGATCCTCTGGCAGCTGCGGCTTGACAGGGCTCCCGTACCAACCTTTTATATCTCTAGGTTCCACCTCCTGACTTCCGGTCAGGTGATAGGTTGGGGCAGAGCTTGGGGAGGGGCTTCACCTTCCCCTCTAGATTAGTGGGTGGCCACTCCACCTAACTACACACACACACACAAATCACTGGATCTACAAAGATGAACTGATTACTTCAAAATATGCATTGAAATATATATTTTTGTAGAAATTAAGACAAAATGAAACAGGAAATGGTATTTGGTTTTGTTGTAAATGTTCTGGGTAAAATTTTCGTAAGTACCTAAGTCCCATTTGAGAATGGGATTTAGTTTTCATAAGTGACTGATTTTTTTTTTTGCCTGTTTAAAAGCATTAGAGGTTTTTCTAAATTTGAAATGTGATTTAAAAAAAATTGTCAGCATTAGGTTAATTTTAGGTACAACCTCCTTCCTCCTCACACACAAGATTCTTAGTTTTAGCGTGGTTAAAAACAATAACAAAAGAACTTGCTTTTCTTAGCGCTATATAAACCATAGTAAGATTTTTAATTAGTGACAAGTACTGCCCCTTGTACTAGAACCTTTTAAATTTAAAATTACACTATTGTTTAAATTCAGTTTGGTTAAGCATTGTTCTGTTTTGTTTAAACATTAGTAAATTTAAGAACTTTGTAAAATAAAATGAGTTTTTCTGTTGACATAGGAGGGACGAAACTTCTAAGGCTTCTGAGAGATGCTCAGCTGTTCTAAAAAAACAACTAGAACCACAGAACACTTGCGTTGCAAGCTCCCCACTATGTCTTACTGTAATACTTTATTATGTTCTTCATGGACTGCATCTGGGGGTAGAGAGATTAGCTGACTTTCCAGGGTCCTTGCAATCTTTAATCTGTGTCCCATAATTGCAATATGTGTGCCTTTTTTGAGCTGTGTGGTACTGCTATTTGATATGGACCTATGTAGTAGGATATGTACTGATTTTATCAGTATAGTTTATGGGGAGAAAATATATGCAATGTTGGCTTTACTTTACATAAGAGACTTTCACTTCACTTGAATGTCACTTGGATGAGTAATGGTTTCGAACTTTTAAATGAAATCCTTCTAGGTACAGTGGTTGTACAACCAGAGCCAGTGCTGAATGAAGACAAAGATGATTTTAAAGGGCCTGAATTTAGAAGCAGAAATATCGTTAAAATGAAACCTGAAGCTCCCAAAAAGCGTGGAGGTAAATACATTTTAAAACATGTTTAAAATGGGTTTAATCTGCTATTTATGGTCACATTTGGTACACCAAAAAAATGTACGTATTTGCTAAAAATACCTCCACTCTTCTGGCTTTTAGTTCACTAAGAGTTCCGGCTTGCTGAAATTAGCCTCCATTGCTGTCTCTGAAGCCCAGCAATGAAAGCTAAAATTAGTTTTTGTAAAACATCTTGCCTTGGGTAGCCATAACATGCTTCATTAGGTATTCTGTGTAAATTATCCTCACTCTATTCTCAAGAGTTTGGTTCCACTCTGCTGTTTTACTGTATCTTTTTTTAGCGAACAGTGGTATACCATTGCATACCCCAGAATTATAAAAAACAAAAAAACCCAAAAACTCATGGTCAATCTGGTAACCCGTGGTCTGAATCTCACCTGCAGGAGAGTGCCTTCTGACTCCTGAACACACATTGTAGAACGAAATAGTGTCTTCCGCACAAGGTGACCTTGCATATAGGGTACATCCAATGTCATGGTGTGTGGAGGATGCCATTTTGGAGCTCCTAAGGCATGCAGGTATAGAACTGCATGCCTTTTAAAAATGTCATGCCACTCTTGGGGAATGATGTTGGAACTCGAGTGAATGTATTTTCTGAGGCGCCAAGAAATCCATATACATGTAGGTAGAGAAAGAATGTCAGTTGGTGAGGAAGAGGTTTTTGTTTTGAATTCCCAGATTAATAGAATTTCTCAGCAATTCCCTGACTATTGGTTATGTACCTCAGGTCATCTGTGGAAAGTTGCTGTGCCAGCCAAATTTCCTTAACCTCTACTAGAATTGATATGCAAGTATATTGATGCTAATGGATAATACAAATTAATCTCTAATGAAGTTGGCAAATAGAAAAGAATAAGCAAGAGACTATGCCTAAACTACTCTGGGGGGGGAAAAAAGTGACTTTACATACCATTCGCCCCTTTGCAGTACAGGCAGTTTTATAATTCACATACCAAAAATAGTAATCAGTAACTTACTATGGCCTACTTACTCCTTCTTTTTTATTGTAGTAGTTTATATAAATAACTTCCTTGTATGTAGTTTGGGTATGTAACAGGAACCCTAAATAATGACCATGAAAAAGTTGACTTACTCATTTGTATGTGCATGTGTGAGGTTTTTTTAACATTGATCTGTCCTTTAACTAGATAGACTAATTGAAGGGCTGCATGATTTATTTTAAATTAAATTAGATGTTGCATTCAGAACCTAATTTCATAGGTTTTGTCTGAGATGATGCCTCAGTTCCTTCTCACTGCCATATGATACAAGTCAGAGCCTCTAGTGTTCTCCTGTCTCTTGTGACATACTTGTTAGTATTAGTTTGGAATGTGAACGTGTAGCTCATTGATTAATCCTAATGGTCACATGCAAGTCCCCCACTCCTGATACCTCTGTATCAGGCAGCGGAGAGAGGGGGCAGGTGGGAGCAGGCACCCATGGGGAGCTGACTTAAAGCCACCTTCCCTGCATGTGCCAGCTCCCACAGACTTGCCTCTCCCTCTCCCCTTTCCATGCTGCTGCCTACCACAGAGGCAGCAGTGTAAGTGGGGGCAGGTGGAAACTGTTGCTAGCAAGGAACTGGCTTATGCCTCTCTCCTCCCTCCCACCCCTTGCCTGCACTGTTGCCTCTTATATAGCTGGCTCCCCATGATCACTGGCTCCGCCTGCTCCCCCTGTGTGTAAATGTATAACTAAAATTTACTGGAGTTACAAATTTACAAAATTAAATGCATTTTAACATCCCTAGTATTAGTGTAGTTTTTAGGATTTTAAGGACTTTGGGACTCCATTTTTGTCTATCTTCCCTTTCTTCTTCGGGTAGTCCCCGTGGGTGCTCCACGTCTGGTGTCGGGCTGGTCCCGGCGCCGCGAATCGTAGCTTGCCAGAGCTATCATCGACCAGGTCGCGCATGCGCGAGCAGCGTTCGCGCCTTTGAACAGCCGCGCGCGACCCAGTCCCCGCCAGTTCCTCTCATCCGCCCCTGGTCACGGACGGAGCTCTCCTCATCTCCTCATTTACCTCAAAAAACAAAAAAAACAAAAAAAAAAAAACAAACAAAAAAAACCCAACAAAACACTCTGATATATTTAATTTCTAAGTTTGTCAGTTTAGACCGCGGTTCCCAATACTGTGGCCGCGGCAGCTTTTAGCCTCGCCGGCTCATTCAAAAAAAAAAAAAAAAAAAGAGAGAGAGAAAAGAAAAGGAAAGAATAAAAGAAACGGGAAAAAGAGAGCTAGTTAATATAGAGAGGTGCGAGACAAACCCATCTCCACCGGTCAAAATGCCGGGTTCCCCCGGTTTCAAAAAATGCGGCATGTGTAGAGAGTCTATGCCGCTCTCAGACGGTCACTCTGCCTGCGTTCGTTGCCTTGGGGAGGCACATATTCCCCAAAAATGTGTCCACTGCGCTAAACTCACGACTAGAGCTCGCAAGGAGCGAGAACGGCGACTTAAAGAAATTTTGTTTGATAAGGCACTGATGCCTTCGGCTTCATCAGGCTCCTCTGCCTCAGACCCCACTTTGGAAAAGCGGAGGGCTCCTTCCCCGAATGTGCCTTCACCAAAGAGGAAGAGAGCCTCTCCTGCTAGGTCCCTGCCAATAGCCCCACAGTCGCGGGGCAGCGCAGAAGAGAAGCCGGGTGCCTCTGGTTCCAGGGCAGCCTGCGCACCGGCAGCAAAAAAGCCGCCCGGCATGTCCAAGCCTCGGCCGCCGCCGGCACCGCAGGAGCCTCTTAAAGGGCCAGTTCCATCGGCACCTACGCTCCCGGTGCCGACCCCACCAGCCCCCTCAGTTAATTTTCCTCACAGGGAGCTGTCCTCAGCACCGCCCGCACCGGGGGTGCATACTACTGAGCAAATACCTGCCTCAGCACATTCCACTGAACCTGCAGCTCTGCAGCTTTCAGGTCAGGAACAGCTACCACCACAGCCTTCTAAGGCAGCGTGCAGACCGGATGCGCAGGCGATTTCTCTTTCACCCTCTCCAGAGGCATCACCTCATATATCTACTCATGCTGACCGCACAGCGGCACACAGGAAACATTACAATCGCAGTGCGTCATCGCATCATCATTACCATAGGGAGCGTAGCTGTTTTCATCACAGGTGTTCCATATCTCGATCTCCTCCCAGACATTCCCTAACACACTCACCATGGTACTATGGCAGACGCAGCAGCGCTAGATCTTCTAGACACTCGTCGCCTGCAGACTCGGCCCGACACGACTCGCACTATCATAGTCGCTACTATGGCGAATTCTCTCGATATAGCCGGTCGCGATCTCGCCGTAGGTTGCCATGCTCCTGTCGGTCAATCAGTCCGTATTCTACACACTCCAGACCGTAAGAGCAGTCCTTGCTCAGGCCGGCATTACCTTCACGATCCCCCACCCCTCGATAAGGCAATCTGACCCGGAGGAGGGACAACTTTGAGTCAGAACCAGACAGGTCACCTAATGCTAACTCCTCCGTACCTTCGCCACTTGAAGCTGTAACTCCGGCTGAAACGTCACCCCCTGATGATCTCAAGGAGTTCCAAGATCTTTTTAGATGTGTAGCACAATCCCAAGAGGTGCAATTTACTGATACCCAGGGCAAGCAACATAAACTGTTCAAAAATTTACACCCGAAACAGCAGCGGAAGATTGCCCTACCGATAGATGAAGCCATTATGGAGGTGGCCGAGGAGATTTGGCAAACGCCAACATCAGTACCACCTACTAATAAAAGAGTGGATAAGAAGTACTTCGTACCATCCAAAGGGCTGGACTTTCTTTTTAATCACCCCCAGCCTAATTCACTGATCGTCGACGCAGTCCGCCATAAGGCAAAGACTCCTTACTTCAAGAACTCCCTTTCGGACAGGGACTCTAAGAAGCTAGATTCATTCGGACGTAAGGTCTACTCTTCCTCAACCCTGCTCCTCCGAATTGCTAACTATGCTGCACTCTTATGAAACCATAATTTTGATAACTATTCCAAGCTCCCCGAACTCATGCAACACCTTCCGGACAGCAAGAGACACCTTTTGAAAGAGGTAGTTCAAGAAGGATTCACGGCATGCAGAACATCCCTTCAAATCGCCGCTGATGTAGCGGACACCGCAGCTCGAGGCGCAGAGCCTCATGGCTGTTGTCGGCAGAGCTCCTAAGGAACTACAGGCCAAAGTTGAGGATTTGCCCTTCGATCGGCAAAAGCTGTTCGCCTCCACTACCAACAAGATTCTTCACTCAGGGAGGGACTCACGTACTACCCTCAGAACTTTGGGTATGTACACGCCGCCCTTCAGGCAAAGGAGATACTACCCTTTCCAAAGGAGGTACGATTATTCGTCGTATAAGCAACAGCAACGTGGACCTGAGCAGTCAAAATTCCGACAGCGTCTGCAACGCAAGCGCCAACAGCAGAATCGCCCACCAACCCGACCAGCTTCTAGGCAGCAGGTTTGACTCCTGCGCCAAGGACTCGAACATGTCCCCAGTGGTCATCACACTAAAGCCTGTTTCCAGCGTATTCAATCATCGGCTGAAACCCTATCTCCATCAATGGGCCAGCATCACGTCGGACCGATGGGTATTAGAGCTGATAACATCAGGCCTCTCGATTCCGTTCATCTCAGTTCCCCCCACTACCCCTCCCACCTCGGCACTTATCATGAACCCATCTCACGAGACCGTTCTTCAGGAAGAAATCCTCCACCTTCTAAGTGTAGGTGCCATAGAACGAGTTCCAAGGGAGTTTCGGGGAAAAGGGTTTTACTCCCGGTACTTCAGGTCGAGGATTGGCCTCCAGCCCCCTAAGAGGTCTAAATCGTTTCATCCGCAAACAGCGCTTCAAAATGACCACGCTGGTCAAGATCATACCAGCACTAAACAAAGGGGACTGGTTCGCAGTCCTAGATTTACAGGACGCATATTTCCACATCTCAATCCATGTAGCACACAGAAGATTTCTACGCTTT